AGGGTTAGAGGGAGAAGCAGACTCCCCGCCGAGCAGGGAGCCCGATGTGGGACTCGATCCCGGGACTCTGGGATCATGACCTGAGCCGAAGGCAGTTGCTTAACCAACTGAGCCACCCAGGCACCCGCAAAACCTTGTTCTTTATCCTTATGACCAACCATCTCATCATTGAGGTAACTGAGGCTCACTGGAGTTAAGTTATAGTACTTGAAATAACGAACACTTCAATCTCCTAAACTAGGCAACCACATGCATTTATACAGCAAGTGTTTATTACATTTGGGGCACTGTTTTCAGTACTCTCAGCCACATTTTACAATCCTAATATTTTGTAATAGATATTTCCATTCTTTTAGTAAGGAAAATACATTCCAAGGAGGTGTCTGGCTTGAGAGTCTTAACCCAAGCTCCTTGCTGCCTCCCTTTTAGGTTTTCCCAGGCTTCCGGATGTGGGTAATAAGCAAGGTTGACCAGTAGAATGAATCAAGTCATAAACTTCAGTTTGACACCAAAAGAATGTGAAGTGGATGAACTGAATTAAGATTTACATGTGGATTTAACACACTTAGGCCAAGAAGAGGCAAAAAAGTAAGACTTGATTCCACAGGAAATGGAGAAACTTTGAAAGCTTTTTATTTTTTGTTTGTTTGTTTTTGTTTTTAAAACAAGCTGTGGCCAGTTTTATTAAAGAAAAATTTTGCGTGATTTACTTTTCACCAGTCTGTTCTGGCATGCTTCTAATGATATCAGAATCACCTGGATCAATGATAGCCACTGTGCATACTCTGTAGTATTTCCCACATGCTATGCCCAATTCAATATTATTGCCACTGTAGTGATGGGCACCAGTTTTGGCCAATATGGCATAGTATTCTATTTCAGATTTCCTCAAGGCTGGGCAGTTGTTGGCGAGGAGGACCACTTTCACTTTGCCATGTCTGATCATTTTCAGAGTCTGCTCGTACCCCAGCACGTACTTTCCACTTTTCGTAACAAGCTGGAGCCTGGAGTTGATGGACTCCAGCGACTTTTTCATCTTCTTTGCGGCCACCACCTTCCTGCCTTAGATGCGGGACGGCCCCAACCAAAGGGAGCCGCCAAAATGGCCGGGAGAGAGAAAGGAAAGAGTTCCCACAATGCAAAGCTCTTCACCGCCTGAAAGCTTTTGAAAAGGAAAATACCAGGATAAAATCTGTGCTTCAGCAAACTGGATGTGCTGCAACATATGGGAAGACAAGCAAGTGGCAGGGTCTGGAGACATCGGGAATGCCTCAGGCAAGAGGATACAAGAACCTGAATTAGACTTTGGGATTTAAAAGGAGGACACAGCTGCCAGATAGGTAGGATTACCAAGTCTTAGAACTTGGTTGGATATAAAAATGTAAGTTAAAGATAGTAATAAATGTTAATGCTAAGTGAAGCCCAGAAAAGCAATGGGAGGCAGGAGAATTTTAGAACAGGAGATGGTGCTCTCTAGTGACCTTCAGAAATAATGAGAGATCCAGGGGGCGCTAATAGCAGGAAAATGTAAGGCTAAAATGGACTTCCAGGAAGCTTTAGCCCTGGAAGGTGACATTTAGTTGTTACAATTAGGTTTAAAGTTTCAGGTTCAAGAGAATTACCTCCATATAGATGTTAACTACAAACCCTTGAAAGTGCAGAGAAGGTAGTGGTTATGGAATAGTAGAAACTAGCACATGCTGTTATGATTTTCCTGACATGGAAATGGTAGGTTTGGGATAGACTGGTAAATCTAACAATCTCTCCTCAATGGTAAGAATAAATAATTATTGGGTGGTTGTTAAGGCTCTAGAAAAGGATACTCTAATCACTAGGAGTAAGGTGGAATCAGTGAAAAAAAAAAGGTTATGGCAAACCATGCCACATCTTTTCAAGAGAGCTACCAAAATTGCAAGTCAGAGGAACACCAAAGAAAGCCTGTATGCCTTGATTTTTAGCAGGCGTTTGTGGACACTGAATGCTGTGGTCAGCACAGAAATGTGGGAACTATATGCTGAGCAGTATAGAGGTTTAAAGAGGATTGGAGTCATGCTCAGAGAATAGAAGTTAATATCAGCTGAGAACATACTTCTCAGCATCATAAACATTTGTCACATTTGAAAACATGGTGAAGATGTAGGAACATCATAACATTATGAACTACTGGCTTGAGGGTTCTGTGGAATGAGGGGAATATCTTAGCTGACATTAATGCCCAAAATATTTTCGCAGGTTATTGTGATCAATTTAAACTAATAAGAACTTTTAAAGGGATAAGAAGTAAAAATTAAGTACATAATAACTGAATAAAAAGAGATCATGTAGCAGGAAATCATTTGAGAAAAGGCTCAGAGTTTGGGCTACAAACAAACTTTAAGCCAGCAATAAACAAACAAACAAACAAACAAACAAATAAATAAATAAATAAATAAAATTGCTAGTATAACCTCATGCTGCATAAATAGAAATCTCATCTCTATTAAGGGCAGCAAAGGTGGTCCAGCATTGGTCACTGAACTGACTATATCTGGAGTCACTTCATGGTTGGAAAACTTTTTTTTTTTAAATATTTTATTTATTTATTTGACAGAGAGAGAACACAAGTAGGCAGAGCAGCAGGCAGAGAGAGAGGGAGAAGCAGACTCCCCGCCAAGCAGGGAGCCCGACGCGAGGCTCAATCCCAGGACCCTGGGATCATGACCTGAGCCGAAGGCAGACGCTTAATGACTGAGCCACCCAGGCGCCCCGGAAAACTTATTTTTAAAAGTTCATTGCTGGGGGCGCCTGGGTGGCTCAGTCATTAAGCGTCTGCCTTCGGCTCAGGTCGTGATCCCAGGGTCCTGGGATCCAGCCCAGCATCGGGCTCCCTGCTCTGCAGGAAGCCTGCTTCTCCCTCTCCCACTGCTTGTGTTCCCTCTCTCACTGTGTCTCTCTCTGTCAAATAAATAAATAAAAAATAACAATAAAAGTTCATTGCTGAACAAGAGGATTTCCAGTGGAAATTATTAGCAAGGTTGAATATTTTGAGGAATGACATAGATAAAAACACTTATGTCCAACCATGCTAATAAAGGGAATCTCATTGGGAGAAGACAACAAAAGATTTTAAACCTTGAAAATGGAAGACTTTTGGTAATGGGATTATATTTTCAAATATTTAAAGACATTAATATGCAAAGGCTAATTCCAGGAAGTAGAATTAGGAGCACTGGTTTGACAGATGTTAATGAGTAACTAGGAATATGCTTATGGGGGAGATATTTGAGCAAGATATTTGATTCAAAACTCTTTGGGCAGAAATACACCAGTCTTGGACATGCTAGCAAATGTCAAGGCCAAAATAACATGCATTTATTTCACAAATATTTTTTTAAGCTTTACAGTGACCCACACTGGGTTTGGGGGTAGAGATGCACTGATAAACAAGAGAGACAGTCATGGACCCATTAGTATGGGGCTAGTCATAGTGGGGACATAGACAGGACTTTTCATTGGAGTGACTGGTGGGAAGAAAGTGCTACCTAAGAATCTGAACTGGCTGAGACAAGACTTAGCTTGTAACCAAGGAAGAGAAAAGGTGAGGTGGAAGTGGGAACAGAGAGGCTGGGTGTTTGGTTAACCAATATCCCACACAAATTGAAGCACAATAATTTTGCTATTAAGTCCTTTTCACAGAGGGTGGTGGGACTTTTTCTTTTTTCTTTTTTTTAAGCCACTGCTGGGAGGATAAATGAATATATTTAAAACACCTAGAAGCATCCCAAACACACGGAAAGTGCTGCATAAAGGTTGGCTATTATTGTTGTCATTGTTGTGGGCCTTTTTCTTGATGGTCTTTGAAAGTGTTGTGTGACTGAATGTCAGTGTTTCCCCAAAATTCATATGTTGAAGTCCTAACCTCCCAATGTGATTGTATTTGGAGGAGGGGCCTCTGGGAGGGAATCAGGGTTAGATGAAGTCATGAAGATGGAGCCCCCATGATGCGAGAAGTGTTCTTATAAAAAGAGGAAGAGACACCAGAATTTCTCTCTCAGTACCATCTGATGACATGAGGGCAACTGCATCAGCCAGGACCTTGATCATAGATTCCCAGCCTCCAGAACCTTGAGAAAAAAAATGTCTGTTGTTTAAACCATCCAACCTCCTGTGTTCTGTCATGACAGCCCCAGCTAAGACAGACAGGGAGGGAGAGCTGCTATCAAAGGATACAGAACTATCTCAATGGGGAGGGAGCACATGCTATTCTGGGTCATCAGCTATAGCTCCTCTTGTGCAGCAACCCTCAAAGGGAAAGGATTTGGCACACAATTTTGTTCACATTCCCATCACCACATCCTCCATTCCTAATGGCTTTCCATAGCTATTATCACCTAGAAGCCTTGGATAAGCTATCCTCAGCCCACTTCTCCAGGCCCATCCATCAACATGCTCCTCTTCATTCTCCTCCTTAGACTCACTGGCCTTTGATCAGCTCCTCCAATAGGCCATGCTCCCTACAGCCTTCATGCCCTGTCATATTATTCCCTCTGCATGACATGCTCTTTCACTTCCTTTCACATCTAGCAGTTGTCCAGGAAAGTCTCCTCTGACTTTCCTAATCAGATAAATTTTACCATTACACATTTCATGACACCTGTACACAGCACTTACCAACATCTGTTAAGTATGTTTTCTATGAGTGTGAGATTAATGGCTTTTCCTCCACTCTTCTCTCCTTGTTCCACAAGGACAAGGGCCCCCATGTCTATTTTGCTCACCATTGTATCCCCACCCCTCAGCGCAGAACTTGGCACATATCTATTATGGCCCAACTTATCTATTCTAATAAATATGTTGATAAAGAACAATAAGGACCTCCATATACATAAGGTCATGCCATCATGGTTCTCCCCTCAGACCTAGGTTTAATTCCTCTGCATAAACCTTGACTACAGGAATCTTGCAGAAAAACAGAAGGAGAAGCTTTTTAACCAAACAACTACATGTTCTGCCTTTCACAGGGAGACCTGCTTAATTATTGTATGTTTTCAGACACAAGTGGGGTGACCACCCATTGGGGAGTTGTGATGGTTAATTTTACACATCAACTAGACTGGGTTAAGACAGGTCCAGAGAGCTGGTAAAACATTATTTCTGGGTATGTCTGTTAGGATGTCTCTGGAAGACATTAGCATTTGAATTGGTGAACTGAGTAAAGATTACCTTCACCACTGTAGGTAGGCATCATCTAATCCAACCAAAGGCCCAAATAGAACAAGGGGCAGAAGAAGGAGCAAAAGCAACATGAGGCACTATGATGTGGGAGCACAGTAGCCTTGAGGATGTGCTCCCTGCAGTCATTCCTTCAACTATTCATCCAAAACCAACAGAGACTGGGCCTTGTACTATGGAAGAGCTGGGGACACAAAAATGAAGAGAAGCCCCTGTTCTACATGAGCTCATAGTCCAGAGAACCAGAGAGAGGGAACTATATTTTAGAGAAGGATATATTTAGAGATGCTGAGCAAAATTAGTCAAGGTCACACTGGCTGGATAGTTAAACCTAAAACCTAGAGAGAATGAGGCTCCCTATCACTTGAATTTTTGTTATAAAGAGTCTGGCTTCAGCCTAAAGTCCCCTGAGGTGACACAGGAGAGGGGTTCAGGCTGCAAGACTCATTCTATCATCTCTGTGAAGAAATATGTTAAGAAAGGAGGGATATTATCTTCGCTGAACAAGCATGGCCTGCATATAGTTTGAGACATTCATCCTGCAGGATGATCGACTTTTCCTTTGCTGTCATTTTATTTAAATAAAATTATATGTGATACTATTTGTGATAATATACTGAGTATCTTTATTTCTCTGCAAACAGCAGGAGCTATTTGCTTTGCCAATCCAATGCCAGTGCCTCACTGGGTGTTGGAACCTAATGGGTGTGACCAAACTGATGGGCATGGTGGCTGCAGTACATGAAAGCTGAGGGCTGTCATGGCCACACAGTTTTCTACATGTGGGCCAAGCCAAGAGAACAGGCACAGGTCTCCCTGCAACATCTGTTCTACCCCAGAGAGTTCTCCAAAGAGTTAATGCTGGGAAGGAGGACACAGAAATGCTGTTACTTTCCTAAAAATTAAAAAATGGCTCTAAAACCCAAAGAAAAAGGTGTTATACATGTTAGGGCACTTTTATTATGTTATGTTAATCACCATACATTACATCATTAGTTTTGATGTAGCTTTCCATGATTCATTGTTTGCATATAACACCCAGTGCTCCATGCAGAACGTGCCCTCTTTAATACCCAACACCAGGCTAACCCATCCTCCCACCCCCCCTCCCCTCTAGAACCCTCAGTTTGTTTTTCAGAGTCCATTGTCTCTCGTGGTTCATCTCCCCCTCCAATTTTCCCCCTTCATTCTTCCCCTGTTAGGGCACTTCTTAAAAGTTTAAAGAGCAAACACAATAATAAAATCAAATCAATGGTGATACTCTGTTTACAATCAGCTAAGGTGTTATAAGAAAAACTAAGGTGTTAAGAGAAAAGGAAAATATAGTTCTTTTTTGCATTTTTTCCCTCTTGGTACATCTGATGATTAGTTGAGAAAATGCTTTATTTCATATATAGATATCTGAATGCATTTTCCATCAGACATCCTTCTAAAAGGTGTGTCTGTCTTGTTACTACTCTGTAATGTAAAACTCATTCTGGAAGCTTCCCACTGCCCAAAGACATAATCTAAATCACTGAGAACAAGGCTCTGAAGACTATGCCTGGCTCTCTGCCTTCTCCATCCCACACTCCCGCCACCTTATACTTCCCTACTTTGTAACTTGGCATGTCTTCCTCTTTCACTCCCCCATCCAGAATTTAGGCCATGCCCACCCCTCCCTAGAATACTACCACTCATACAAAACTGAGGTTCTCTTTCCTCTGGGTCCAGTGACCACTTCCTCCTTAGTGATGTGTGTGACAGGAGCCCCAATCCCAGTCATGGTGCTGACTCACCGCTGTGAATGCTGTTGGTTTCTTGGATTCTTTCCTTGCACTTTTGTGATTTGTGAGCTCCCTGAGGAAAAGCAGTCACCTTGGTGTTCCCATGCCTGGTTTGTACATGGTGGAACCAAATTATTGTCTGAGGAAGGAAATGAGAGATGGAGGGAGGGAGAAAGGACTGGAATACACATTTTAGAAAGAAAGCAGGCAGAAAGTGCACATTTAGAGGAAACACCCAGGGGACAGAGGACAAGCTTAGGATATTTAAACCAGAGAAGAAAATTCGTCTGAGAACATAGAGCTGTCTACAAATATTTGAAGGGTTTTAAGGTAAATAAAGGCTTACTAGAACTAGAACTTATATTTATATATGAAAATGGGAAATTTTAACTCAAAAATTTCAATGGATGTCTCTGGTAATGGATGTCACCAAGGTGAGTGGGGACCAGTTCTCTGCAGGGAGTTGGTGCAGTGAGTCGGAACACTGTATTACATGATCATGTGGGTGTCTCCCAACACTGAGTCTGGTTGTAGATAAATGCATCATCACTTCTGTGGTACTCTAATAAGAAGCCCCAATCCATCTGCCCCATATCAGACAAAACAAAAGGGAAAGAAAACGATCTAGGACAAGAAACTAAATAGCTCCTAATGACTTATCTCAACTACCATTAATTTCTGTTATGTCAAGTTTGGGATTCTATTTTTTTCAAAGGTTGCAAGTAAAAATACTTAGAAGCACATCTGCCATCTTGGATCTCTTGGAGAATATTTAAAAGAACAATATGAAGAAAATTCTGATCCAAGACTGATTACTGATCTGCTTATGGAGCTGAATTTCTAAACACTTCAAAAGCAACATGGATCTAATGTGAGAGATATCACTTTCCATTTAGAGAAGGAGATCCACATGTGTTAATATCACTTGTTAATTTTGTTGGAAGCTAAGGAATGCATGCCCATTATGATGAAAACTCCCTTTCACAATAGCAGAAAATGTAATATAGAAATGTATAGCAGAAAATGTATTTAATGGTTGATCAAAATTATTTCACCAATGAGATATTACTGCCAAAAAATGTTCATTGTAAATCTAATCATGATGAAACAATCAGGTATTCCAGAATGTGGGACATTCTACCATTTAGTACATAACCAACCTGGAATCCTCACAAAAGTAAATGCCATGACAAACACAACAGATGAAAAAGGAGGGCGCCAATCTAGTTCAGAAGTGACTGAAGAGACATAATTAGTAAGTGTCAAGTGTGAACCTTGATTCTTGGATCAAAATAACACAGCTATGGAAGACATTTCAAATGCAACTGGAAAATTTTTGACTGTAGATTAGATACCAAATGATAACTTTATTTTAGTGGTATTATGAGGGGAGTGCTTTCATTCATAGGTGGGGCATCCAAAATATTCAGAGGTGACATGTTGTGATGTCTGCAACTTATTTTCAACATATTAGCAAAAAAGAGAGAGAAAGAGTGTGTGTGTGTGTGTGTGTGTGTTTACAGAGAGAAAAAGTTAACAATCTAGGTCATTCTACAATGAATCAAACTAGCTCACTATGACTTATACAATGAAAACATGTGAACAACTGAGAAACTGAAGTTTACAATAGTGGAGGGATGCCATGTGAAAGGAACTTTCATTACCCACAGCTTTGTCTTTCCCTGGGTACTGTTACTAGTAACCAGCTTATTTGCTCAGAGGTCCAGCACATTGTCTGGAGCCCAAGAATGATTTGAGAGAACCTAAGCAATATTTCTTCTCAACTCCAGTCTGAGGTTAAGAGGTCCTGAAGAGAGAGCAAGGTATACATAATGGAATCCAGCTCTTTAAAGATATCGAAAGGGAATTTTCAAGCTACTTTTTTGTACAATCTAGATGTTCAAATTAACATACAATTATTTCTTTATAAATAAAAATTTTTAGCCTTCAAAAAAAAAAACCCAGTTAATCTAGGTCAAGGGTAAACAGGCATCTATTGTACTATTCCTTCAGCTTTTCTTTAAATTTAAAATTTTCAAAAGAAAAGTGGAAAATTATTTTTGGAATATTAATGTCAAACATTCTCATTTCTTCTATGTTCAGTGGCAATAAAATTTACTTGGGAACATGGATATGGTTCCCTCTGATGCTTCCTTTTTCCAAACCCTCCACTAACTGAATTGGATCAGAGTCCACTACTTAGAAGATTCTTCTGAGTGACAATGAGTCTGGGCCTATCAATGGTGGAGTTGGCCCTCTACACAGAGCACTCGCCCAGCTCCTGCAGAGAAGATGCCAAGAGGCTCTGGATACCCCTTCTACCACAGAATGTTCACTCATGTAGGGAGTAAGAGATGGAAACCTATATAGTGCATCATAGAGAGCAATGTTTGCACTGGGAGAGATTGTAATGGGAGTTTACAAAAGCTTTGGGAAAACTTGAGATGTTTGGGAAATTGATTGAACTAGAGAATAAGAGAGAAGTGAGAGAGAAGGGCATGTGGCTGCCAGGCTGAGGCACTCATGTAATCTAGGAGCCAGTGGGGAGTCTGCATGTGTTGAGTAGAGTAGAAGCATAGTAAGAGCTGCATTTTTCAGCAGAATTTGCCTGGGAGTGGTCTTGATAGGTTGATGGGTCAGGATTGTTGAGAGAAATTTAGGGTGAGAAACTGTATGGGGACAGTGAGGTTGCAGAGAGTAAGAGGCAAGAGTTAGAGAATGATGTCCATAGACCCGGGCTCCACCAGACCAGGACTGACTACTAAAATAGTAGGAAAATATCTTAACCTCCATGTGATTCTTTCTTTTCCATTTTAGAAAAACTGGCTGCAATTTCTTGGGTTAAGAGAATCAAATAGGTAAGATAATTTAAATATTTTAAAATCCAATAATAATGTTGCCTTACATTTATATGTTCAAAATAGTTTTCTGCTGGTCCTCTATCCCAGCTGCTAACTAGACCCTTATTCTTCCTCCTGCCAACCCTTCTCCTGCTCATAATCTCTACCTTAGAGCCTCAAAGAGATGTTTCACATGTCTAAGGAAAAATCCCAGGAGCACTTGGGTGGCTCAGTTGGTTCAGCATCCAACTCTTGGTTTCGGCTCAAGTCATCATCTCAGGGTCATGATCTTAGAGTCATGAGATCGAGTCCCAAGTTGGGCTCTGCACTCATCGGGGAGTCTGCTTGGATTCTCTCCCTCTCCTTCTGCCCCTCTCTCCACTCATGCTCACTCTTTCTCTCTAAAATCAATCTATCAATCAATCAATCTAGCTTTAAAAATAAATAAATAATGGGGCACCTGGGTGGCTCAGTCAGTTAAGTATTTGCCTTCAGCTCATGATCCTGGGGTCCTGGGATCGAGCCTCACATTAAGCTCCATGCTCAGGGGGAGTCTGCTTCTCCAGAAGGTGGAAAGAAGGGAGAAAGAACAAGCCCAGTCTGCTCTCTGAACCATCAAAATGTAATGCTCATTTTCTCTCCTCTAATTGTAGTCTAGAAAACACTAGGTACATTTGGCATGCTTTATCCATTGTATACGATTTCCTTTGTTGCTGGGTGCTGCCGTCTGATCTGGCACCTGCCATGTCCAAAAGGTGCCATTACAATTCCATTTAGCTCACTTGCCCTGTAGCTTCTCAGAGGACCAAAGCTGCACAGTGATTAGTAGCAAAATGAGGAAGAATGAACTTCACCCTTTTGTGTAGACCCAGGTTTAAGAAATGATAAATTAGGGCTGCAAGGGCCCTGATATCCTACAATGGTTTCAGTGAAATAGCTTTAACTCCCCCCCCACATCTCTTCAGGTACTGCAGAAGAAAGGGAGTGTCAGATACCATACTCAGAATTATCTCTCACATCTGTTAACCAAAGCTTTGTTTATGAATCCAATTTGCCTTTCCTGATGCTCCTTTTCTTGGATTGAGTTCTCTCCTAGGAAATTCCTTAATATATCAAGATATACAATTTTTCCAGGCTCCCTAATTTTCCTTAGGCATGGACAGATATTTTGGAACAAATGTGGCAACTGCAGTACTGCAGTAACAGTAAAGAGGTCTTAGAAAAACATGTTATCCATTTTATTGCATAACTTTTTCCTTCATTTATATAAATTATAGTATATGTATAAAGTTTATTTCTATCCATTTGTTTATAACCTCCTTAAAAACAGATCTTTTGTTTCTTTGTTTCCTTTGAATAGTCCAACCACAAATATACAAATAATACACAATAATGGCAGCCATATCTGGTCTCACATTCTATAGTTCATAAAAGTAATAACATATTAAATACTGAAACATGCTCCCAGTCTTTAGGATTCTATGCATTATTTAAGATAGTTTTTCCAATATATGGTCATGGAACAACTGGATATCATAATGAGGGAGGGAAATTAACCTTGACTCTTACCTCATGTCATAGACAAAAATTAAGTTGAGGTAGATTATAGACCTAAATGTGAATGTTAAAATATTCAAATTTTAAGAAGAAAATAAATTTTAAAAATATGTTCATGACTTTGAGATAGGCAAATATCTCTTAAATAGGACATTAAAATATTAAGCATAAAAGAACAAATTGATAAATTGAATTTCTTTAAAATTAAGAAACTTCATCAAATACATCATTAAAAGATGTGCAGACACTAAAAATGTTGGGGTTTTCTAACTTCAGGGGTCCTCAGCTATGACACAAACTATTTCACACTTATCCCATGGAACTTGGGTGGCAAGAGGAACAGAGGCAAATATGGAGCTTATGATGCTTGCTGTGACCTGAATAATAAAGTCCTTTGTCTCTGAACCAGTCATCTCTCTTCTGCCAGAATCTATGAAACTGTAGTAGGCCAACTTGTTAACTTACAAATGAGGTAATATCTCAGACTGTCACAGTTCTTGATAAGGAGAACCCTGAAGCATCTCAAGAGTTAGAGGTTCTGGGTATCTCAGGACAAGAACTAGCAGTGGGTCAGAAATAGAAGAGGGAGTTAAAACTCCATAAACCAAACACAGAGTTGGTGATTGTCTTTCCCCATTCCAGTAGAACATGGAGTTCCCTGATCTTTGGAGGCTGAATCAAAAATCCAAGATTCAGTGACACAGAAATAAAAAGTGAGCACACAAGGTCATTGTCTTGTTTGGCTTTCAGCATTTTTTCCACAGGCTTGCAACTTCCCAAGCAATGTATTAAAAAAAATCCTTGTGAAATTAATAAGCCAAAGTAATAAGACCTAGAAATACTAACAAGCAGCACTTGCTCTAAATTCCCAGTTTTCACTCTAATGTGAGACCTACAGAGAGCTTCCAATCATCCATAAGTACTTCATTTCTAAATATTAATAAGACATCAGTGAGGAAATGCTTTATTATGAAAAAATGTACTCCAAAACAAATAGAAAGAAATGATACCAGAGGTATCAGAAGCAATGTGGGACCAGAAGAAAATTTCAAAGTAATTATGATTAATGTCCTCAGAGAGAGAAGAGACATTATTAAGTCATCAAAATAATAGCAGGATGCCATAAAATAAGAATATTCCAAGGACAAGAAAGTGCTTTGGAGTTTTTTTTTTTTTTTTAATTAGTAGATAGTTGGTGGGTAAATTGGTAAAAGTTTCCTAAAAACTAGTGCAATAAGAAAAATGTATACAGTACAGAATGGTTATAATATAATTATAATATGAGAGGAAGATAATACCATAGAAGAAAGAATTTATTAAAGAAATAATGTAACAAAGTTTTCAGAGAAAGATGGTGGTGGAATAGGAGGACTGTAGGCTTGCCTCTTCCCATAAACACAACTAGATAACTATCTAATCATCCTAAATATCCCAGAAATAGACCTAAAGACTGACAGAACAAACTCTACAACTGAAGAAAGAGAAGAGGCCACATCAAAGAAAGTAAGAAGTGAAGAAATGTGGTTTCAGGGAGAAACTAACTGCTCATGCTGTGGAGGTGGGGGAGCCGTGGTCATGGAGAAGGGAGAGAGAGAGAGGAACAGACAAGGTAATACACAAGGAGAACGTGTCCCCAAAGCCATTGGCTTGGAAAATGAGAGGTGTTAAATTTCATGACTTCATGCAATGAGCAAAGCTTAAAGTCTGGAGTTTCAAACGTCAGCAAGGTTGGCTGGGCTATAGCCTGGAGGGCACTGCCTTACTCCCGGAAAGAAGGCAGGTAAACAACCTAGGGGCAGACAGCCTGGAAACAGCAGTCTGAAGAGAACCTCGGGCCCACAGTGGGGAGATTATTCACTCTTCTTAGAGTGCATTCCTGAGAGGCAGCTTTCATGGAGACACCTCTTAGGGAACATAGGAGTTGGCCAGTGCTATTTCCCTCTGCTGCCCTTCAGTATAAATGCAAAGCCACCTGTGGGAAGCAGCACAGCCCACACACTGGCTGCCTTACTTGCATACACTAAGCCCTACCCTTGTGCTCTGGTAGGACTGCCCTTCTCAGTCACGCTTGCCTCAGTCCCAGCACAGCAGACCCCTCCCCCAGAAGAATGGCACAAACCCCTGCCCATACTGCTTCTCCCAACCAGAGAGTTCTGTACGGCCTCAGTTATGGTAGAGGTGGTTACAAGTCTCATTTCACAAGCAGACCAGAGCACAC